AGCTTAATAAGATTCGATTCAATGATAAATTTGAGGAGTAGCTTTGGCAACAATCCCAGCCTAAAAAAACAACAAAAAAACAACAACAGGGTTTTATTGAGAGAAGATACTGCATTTTGTTGCTCTGCACAGCTCTACTAATACACAAAATAATAAACGTAGAGTAATAATTTATAAAACTATGTTAGGATATCAAAATATTAAAAAATACAGGAAGGTATGAAAAATGAAGTTGAATATCTTGTACTAAACATCTATAAATACCTGGTATCTAAATATCACACTTTAAAATTAACAACTAACCAACATTACTGAATTAATTAATACCAATAGAAATCCTTGGACTTTTCATGTTTCTAAGAAGAAACAGATGGTTCAACTAATGGTTGGCAATTAAAAATGCTTGAAATGCAACACTGGTTCATAAAAAGAAGTTTGGTGTTGTAGCAGCTCTACTATGGAAAAAAGATCTTAGAATAGGATAGAGCTGGAAGGGACCTTGGAGGTCTTCTAGTCCAGCCCCTTGCTCAAGCAGGAGAACCTATACCATTTCAGATAAGTGACTGTCTAGTCTCTTCTTAAAAATATCCAGTGATGGAGCGCCCACGATTTCTGAAGGAAAGCTGTTCACTGGCTAATTGTCATCACTGTTAGGAGGTTTCTCCTTAATTCCAAGTTGCTTCTCTTTTTGGTTAGTTTCCAACCAGATATTTCATAGAATAATTCTGTTTGTTCAGATTTTTTGACTATTATAGATATTTCTGTTTTTTTTGAATTATTCATCTTTTTCTACATTCAAATATGTATTTACTGCCGCAAGATCCAAATGTACGAGATTTAATTTCATACACCAATTTCAATATTTAATTTCCCATTTTTCCTATAGTAAATTAAAAACATTAATAATTTATTTAGCAATATATCAATATAAATGAACAGTACTTTCATTTAATGATTGAAAAATGCATACTTTTGTGTGGATGGTTCCCCCCCCCTTGTTTCTTCTCCCATTTTAACATATGTAATAAAAATATTTTTAAAAAATATACTTGGGTTTGGCAGTCAGGTCTCTCTAGAAAAAGAAAATTAATTACGAGTGGAAAACTTGCAAATTAAGCAGAACATAAAAGAAAAAATATATTCTTTAATTAAAGTTTCCGTGGCACGACAAAACCGCGGTCCACTAAAGCGCGCCCGATTAAAGCGTGTACCTGATGTCATCAGCAGCGTGACAAATA